TCTATGAATTTGAAAAATATTTCTATATTATATTATCATGGCCAATGAAGAGTAGACAGACGAAGGTGATGATTTTTCAGCTTCACAGCTAGGAATGTCATTTCAGATTGATTTTCTTAGATGTTCCAATTCCTATTCCATGTTTTATGAAGAGTCCAACACATCCACCTCGTTGTTTTCTGCTGTCATAAATGAATTGAAAACTATTGAAGTTATAAAACGATTCCTCTGCTTTGTTCATCCAAGTCTGTGATATGATTAGAACGTCTGAGTGGGTATACAGGGTGGCCCACATTTATTTGCCTCACTATTGCTATCTCTGAAACGGTTAGAGATAAAACGTTGGTTAAATAGATACCAAGCGTATGGCAACGTCGCTGTTCTCTTCGTTGAAATGCCAGGCGTGTATATATCGGATCACCTAGCACTGACATATATCGACACAAACAAGTTAGTTCTCTTCTTCAAAGATTTTTCAATACGAGATGTCAGTGAGTATCGATTGAATGTTTCTCTGAGGCTTTCTGTTAGTGAAATTTTTGGCGCATAATCTGGGGCAGATCATCTTATTTGTCCCAACTCCACATACATAGAAATACATCTAAAATTTTTGTTTTCAAGAACAATTGAAGAAAATCACAAAACATTTGTGAAAATAAATATGTCACCTCCTCTATTATCTCACAGACAGTATTTGTTCTTTCGAAAATATGTATTGGAATTTGATGGCGATGCAACGTTTCGAATTGGTTATTCGCATAGGGTATTCCGTTTATGTTGAAAATATTGTTTTCGAATAACAAGTTACCTGTCTGAGCTTTATGTAACAACGATTCAGTCATCAATAACAAAGTTTATGAAATGCTGAATGGCTATAAAAATTATCATTATCTTATCTAGGAATAGGTGTACATATTATACAGAGTATTTCCGAAATTGGAACGATAGGTGAATCAAAAAGGAAGTTTTATTCGAGATTTTTTGGAAATGGTGCGCTCTTACCTCAAATAAATAGGTTACCCATTTATATTGACCTATGCGTATATAAAAAGTGAATGAATCTTACAGGATCAAAATGAATGCTCAAAAAGAATGTGCAGGCATGAGATAAATTGAAGTGAATTATATCATTCATTGAAAACTTCAAGAAAGTGAACAACAGTTCACAAATCTCTCTAGGTCCTACCTCTAGGTACTACGACCTCTCGTGAAAGGTGCCGAACACCTGGTAGAATAAGTTTGGATGATCGTCAATGAGCTCGATAAGAAACGTCTTCTCCCCAATAGTATTCGTGTTCAAAATCAGCATCCTTGCCTATGATAAAATACTCCATTGCCTATGAAGGATTACACTAATCAACCCAAGATCAAGGTCAAGCCGCTTATCGGCTATTTGGCCATAATCTTCCACTTGAGGGTTTTAGGGAATACTTCCACAGAACTAGAACTTTCCTTGTGAACAGGCTTGGGGAATCAGCTATTCAGAAAAACCGAGACAAAGGCTACTAGAAGGACGCCAGTAGATAGCAGACGGCTAATACCATCGCCCAGTGCGATACCACCACAGCGACTTCAGAAACTGTGAAATGGTTTTTAACCATTTTTCAGTAGCTGCCCGATGATTACGGTATAACCCAATCTAACCCAATTGCCTTTTTCTTCCGAGCCAATCTTCTTCAAGTAAAATTATCCAGAAGTGATATCCATCGACACCTTCATAAGGCAAAATCAAACAAATTAGCTCTATTGAAAAGGAATATTCTCAGATAAATTATGAACATACAAAAATGGATATATATTTATATAAAGCAATACATTGAGAATTCGCATTCTCTATGTGATAAGAATATTTACTCTTTCTCAGTTGATTCAATAGAAAACAACTACTTTCCTGGCTATATGCCACGACGAACATTGAATTATATCTATTGAACACACACGATAAGAGTTTGAAAATAAAATATAAATACTTCTGAAATTGAGAATTTGCATTCTCCTTCAGATAAAAATATGTATATGCACACATCATTCTGAATATTCAACAGAAAACAACTACTTTTCTGGCTATTCGCCTCGTCGAACATTGAACTATATCTGATGAACATTCAAAAGGAGAACATGAAAAATGAAGAATAAAATCCTCCGAAATTGAGAATTGACATTCTTCTTCAAATCGGATAAATAATATGATGTATAATGATATAGAAATATAACTTACCAATATATTCAGCATTGAAATGAAAATTGGAATGTATAGGAGAAGTATACTGGCATAAACTCTGATCTTGATGAGCTTGAAAACTTCCAAAAAATAATCATTCATGGAAGTTTTCAAGCTCATCAAGATCAGAGTTTATGCCAGTATACTTCTCCTATACATTCCAATTTTCATTTCAATGCTGAATATATTGGTAAGTTATATTTCTATATCATTATACATCATATTATTTATCCGATTTGAAGAAGAATGTCAATTCTCAATTTCGGAGGATTTTATTCTTCATTTTTCATGTTCTCCTTTTGAATGTTCATCAGATATAGTTCAATGTTCGACGAGGCAAATAGCCAGGAAAGTAGTTGTTTTCTGTTGAATATTCAGAATGATGTGTGCATATACATATTTTTATCTGAAGGAGAATGCAAATTCTCAATTTCAGAAGTATTTATATTTTATTTTCAAACTCTTATCGTGTGTGTTCAATAGATATAATTCAATGTTCGTCGTGGCATATAGCCAGGAAAGTAGTTGTTTCCTATTGAATTTCTAATGATTGTTTATGATTCGTATTACATACAAAATTTTATCTGATGGCATTTATATCAATACATTTTCGAAAAATTAAAAACTGCATTTTCGACATGTCACAATGACAACTATTTTTAAAGGAGTAAGTATTGTGTAGTTTCAAATATTAGTAGGTGAGTGAGCTGTGCTTTGCCATTATATTAATATTACAAATTGTAGTAATTGTTCTTTTACCATTTATAATAAATAGTTTTGTACATAGTTATGCATTCTGAATAAACTTTTTTGATCAAATCATTACCTGTTTTCCTTATAGAATTTCATTATGGTACTAAGTACCATAATGAATTCATTATGGTACTTAGTCCCATAATGAGCTTCCTTATGTCATCAAAATTGAGTGACATAACGTTGTCATTATGACATGCCATCAGATACAAACACTATTGACACCACACATATTTGATGTTATGTGGAGTGAACTTGTCAGCCAGAAACTCACCAAATGTGTTTCCTCGAATAAGTTATCACGAAATAATCCATCCTATGTAGAGCTATTCGATTTCTTCTTCCTGAAGCTAAACCAAATTCAAAAAATCTACCCCTTACTCCGTGACTAGGATGAAATATGTTGAAACCGGAAATAGCTGCAGCCAAACAATAAATACATAAAAAAAACACATAAGAGCTCATGGATTGTCTCAATTTTACTGATATTTCATTTCGACCACTCTCCTGAGTCGACATAGCAAGAGGAAGTAGATATTTCCGTGAGAAGAAAGGAATTTATAAAAAGTGACATTTTATAACCCGTCAACAGAGATGAAATGTCAAACGTTTCGTCCGTCACAGAAAAAACGTATTATTTTGAGACCTCATTGTTATTACTTGAAAAAAAAAGTATGCTTCTCGAGCGATAATGCCATCATATACCTCACAAAAATTATTGCTATATAATAGCTCAATTCTCACCCTAGGATTATAATTTACTATTAACTTCATTTGAGGTAGCCATTCAAAACGTGTGTGACTGACGAGTAATGAGGCACCACCTTCATTGAAACTGATTGATTACTAATCTATTATTCCTTATACCTTCAACCGTTCTACATTTCGTGAATTATCATGCTCTTAATCACCAACCACCATCCTTTTAGGTATTATACTTCATATACATAACAACACGAGACAAACTGACGTATTTGTCATCTAACAGGGTACGGACAGATCATAGCTCCTTCCTCTTTTAATCATCTAGTGACTTTGGTTTCGTGTATTGGCGTCCCTGACATGACATTGCTGTCACGTCACATTTATTATAGGCGCTAAAAGAGATTTCATACTTGATCTTATAATACGACATTATTCAATTCTGTCTTGGAAGGATGGTGAAATGTGCTGCGTTAGGTTGTATAAATCAGTTGGATGGCAAAAACTTAGAAGATGGAAAGTGAAGTGACCGAATGGGGAGAATTGGTAAATACATCATCAAAATATTCGAGGTAAAACTAATACGAAATCACATATTATACTTTCTCATTGTGCCTATAATTATCCCCTTCACAAGTTTCAGAATGCATTTTAGTAGATACAGTTAAAACAGTTTTGATTAAAACGACGGATCAAAAGAAGAGGCATAGGCCCTACCATTAAAAAAATTATACCTACATTCAGGAAATATCAAGTGTTCGTGATAAACTGCAAAAATGATTCCCAACATGAATATACACAGCACACATGACAAATGAGCACATTAGTTCAAATCCCTACATGAACTTTTTCACCATTTCTCAACCATAAGGCTCAGTCTGAAATCAAAATGCATTTATCGATAGGTACTGCCTGAGAACAGTCCCATTTGGTAAAACGTATTAAACTTTCAGAAAAATTCGCTCACTGCCTCACAAAGATTATGGTGGAGTTGAAAAATCAAAAACTCAAAAAATATCATCATCATTTGGATATAATTTGTAGAGTTGAATAAGAAATTACATGTGGAAATTATGTATGATACGCCAATGTCCTCAATATAACCTAAAAAAACAACAATTGTCAGAAATCTAGTGTTTATCCTCAGGAATAAATAAAGATGGAACTATATAACTGTTTCACAAACGCTTCAGAGTAGGAGGAGACCAGGATCTGTCCGTACCCTGTTAAGATGACAAATACGTCAATTTTCATCAGGGGACTACTCACCATGTATCCAAAGTTTGATTCATTCGACAATTGGATTCGGAATAAAGCCTAATGTATGTTCTTTTCAGGCAACCTCATCACTTTTTCCGTCGGCACCGCCATAACCTGGGCTTCCCCGGAGCTGGACAAGCTCGAGGAGATCAACGTCATCTCCAACCAGGACCAGAGATCATGGGTCTCGTCGCTGTTCCAGCTGGGCGGCCTATTCGGCCCATTCGTGTACGGTTTCATGGCGGATAAGGTCGGCAGGAAGAACACCATCTTGGCGATAGGGGTGCCCTTGCTAGTGGGATACCTTCTGATGGCGTTCGTTAGGGAGCTGGCTTCCTTCTACGTCAGCAGATTCATTATAGGCGCGTAAATTGATATAACACAAATTCTTGAAGTCGCCTCCATTACTGGTATTTCTAGTCAAGGGTTGAATCCAATGAGAATCCATCTGTGAGAAATTGCGTTTTGGGGCTGGTTTTGAGTTTTTCTTATTCCTTTTCACGTACAACCGGTATTCCTCTTCTGTAACTATAGTTCACTTCGCTATCTGAAATAGTGAGTATTCAAGAGTGAAGGGACTGTAAATGAAGATTCAAGAATCAAATATGCATGTTGTACGTAGAATTTTTTAATGTGAATTCATATTTCAAGTAGGCAGGAGTAATGTTTTTCAAGATTCCATGAAAAATTGATAGTTTATCTATGTGAAAGTGACAGATAATATTGTTAATGAACTCCAAGCAAACGATGAGGATTTCTTGCAATATGTTGAGAATCTTAATCTTCAACAATAAACGAATTTTCACTTCACTGAAATTAGTTTCAATCAAGCGAGAGACATAATTAACTCACTAAAAAATATCAGGAGTCGAGACATGGTTTGAATGTTCCTCTGTTAAAATTAATCAAAAATATCATGCCAATACCTCTCACAAAATCATTAAATGAAGCTATCTGGCTCAATGAATGCCCAGAGTTATTGAAAGTTGCATCTGTGACTCCAATTTTCAAGATAGGAGACGTTAACGAAGCTTCCAACTACAGACCCATATCCCTTCTTCCGATTATTTCGAAAATTTACGAAAGAATACAACTAGTATCATAACTTGAAACATGTAATATTCTAAATCATACTCAGCTTCTGTATTTTGTGAATTTAGTGGAGCCTTCGACTGTGTATCTCACAGAAAATTTTGAAAAGTTACCTGGTTACGGTTTTGGCATTGACAGCATAATGTTTTTAGAAAATTACCCCAAGAATCGGAAACAATCTGTCCGACTTGATGGGAATATATCACAACAATGAGAAATCAAGAATGGACTTCCTCAAGGCTCTATTTCAGGGCCTGTTTTATTCCTAATATATATCATCGACTTTCCGATGGTGATGCATAACTTGAGATGTACTCTCTACGCGGATGACACTACTATCTCCACGAGTGGAGCCGAGCTAGACAATCTTCTGATACAATGTGCAGATATACAGTCGGAGGCTGCCGCATGGTTTACAATAAACAAACAAGCTCTGAACCAGACAGAGACAGCAACGATGATATCATCGACGAAAGATCTGACTCACCAATCTGAAAATCTGAATTTCGTGAAGTTCCTGGGAATATATATATATATATATAGATTGATAACAACTATGGGATCTCCAGGGGAATAAATATATATATTATATATGCTCTGAGACAACTTACATTCAAAACGTCTAAAACTATCCTACTAACAGCATATTTGGCGCTATTCCACTACAGAATAATATACGGAATACTCGCTTGGGGACATGCGACAATCTAGCATAGAATCTATCAGCTTCAAAGAAGAGCTGTTAGAATTGTGGGAGGAGTGGGCTATCGTGATGATATCAAACAAAAAATATTTATACCGCAAAAAATACTCACTTTACCTTGTTTTTGTATTCTGTAATGTCTAACATTTGTAAAAGATAACCCTGATAGATTTGCGATGCATGAAAAAATCATGATTACAATATTAGATATAAAAATCACATTTATCCAAATTCATTACGCCTGAACAGATCAAAGACTGGAACCTCTTACTACGGTTTGTTGACCTACAATTACTTGAGAGAAGATATTAAAGATATTAACAATCAGATATGTGATATAATCATTTTTACTGAACTATGGTTCTGAAAATATTCAAGATATTATTGATTCCATTGGAAATTTTAAAATGCGATACTAGTTCTGTATAGTGTACTATTTGTTACATACTTTTATCTCTTCCCAATATCTTGTCCTGCGTTTGTACTCATGCAAAATGCTCTTTTTGATGATGTGAGATTTCTCGTGAATTTTTGAACAGAATATATACTACTCCTTCGGTAGGATTGAAATCACCCTACGAATTTTCCGTTGATGTCATATCCCATCAATGACTCTGCCAATAAGTTATTTATGACTCACCCTATATTATTTATTCATTCAGGTCTGGCGACTGGCGGCATGTACGCGGTCCTACCGAACTACGTCAGCGAAATCTCCGAAAAAGCTTCCAGAGGCACCTTCTCCTGCCTCCTCAACGTCTTCCAATGCAGCGGCATGCTCTTCTGCTACGCAGTGGGACCCTACACCAGCGTCGTAGTCTTCAACTTCATACTGGCCATCTTTCCTGCCGCCTGCATAATACTGTTCTACCTTCTAGCCATCGAGAGTCCCCACTATCTTATCAAGACGGGCCAGTACGACCTAGCCAAGTCCACGATAGAAAGCATCAGAGGCAAAGGAGCCAACGTTGAGAGCGAGCTAGCCATGATAGAGAAAGCGATCGAGGAAGAGGGTAGGCCCAGCGTCAAGGATATATGCAGGTCTAAAGGCAACAAGAAGGCCTTCCTCATCACTGTAGTACTACTGTGTTTCCAGCAGCTGACAGGAATCAACGCTATACTGACCTATGCACAGACTATATTCAAGGACTCGGGGACTTCAATACCCCCAGAGATATGTTCGATGATCATTGGGGCTGTTCAGCTGGGAGCTAGTTTCTTGACGCCCATTTTCGTGGATAAGCTGGGCAGAAAGATGCTGCTGATTATATCTGCGATCGGTATGGTTTTGTCGGAGTTGCCTCTGGGGCTGTACAGTCACTTCTATGCGCACCAGAAGGAAGGCAGCGATTTGTCCTATCTACCAATCGTTTGCTTGGTAGTTTTTATTTTAACCTACAACGTTGGTTTCGCACAGGTGCCGTGGACAATAATGGCCGAGATGTTTCCTACCGGAATCAGATCCAAAGCTGCTTCCTTAGTAACAGCTGCATGTTTGTTGCTAGGTTTTTTTATTGTCAAGTATTTTGAGCAAATGTCCAACAACATAGGACTGGGCGTTTGTTTCATGATTTTTTCGGTGTGCTGTGCAATTTCTACCATTTTCGTCAAGTTTGTGGTTATTGAAACGAGTAAAAAAAGCTTGGAGGAGATTCAAACTGAGTTGAATTCATAATAAACGGTTATGAGGCAGTAATCGAATTCTCCATCAAATCCAAGAATGTGATACCTCAGGGTCTAGGCAAGATTTGGTTCATCCTCATATCTTTCAGAAACACGATCGTGGCATCCTTGGGGAAGAAATGAATTAATGAAAGTCTTCAAGAATACGAGGATGATTCCGTTTCTGGTCATACCCATTATAATGTATCAAACGAAACATTCCCATTAGGGAGGAATGTTCTCTGGCTACCTTCCACCGGTTAGGTATTATATCAAACCGTCCTTGTATATTTGTCTTTGAATAAATAATGTTTAGTCATGGTTTATTTTTCACCCTATTGTCTATAGTATCACAATGTTGAGTTTTTGCATCATCATTTTTTGACAATGACATGCTACTAGGCATGTTTGATTCATCTACTAAGTGTTTGGAGAACATCGTGTCAGGAAGGATAGACATATTTCCTGACGCGATGTTGTCCAGTACCTACCTCGAAGACGTGAAAACAAGCATAATTATCTCACAATGAAGTTTCAACAAAAACTCCAGGATGAAGTTCTATAGCAGGAAATGATAGGAGAAATCAGCCATTGATATGGCTCAAAAACCAATGAAGAATTCGAGGCTATCTAGAACAATATGCTTCCTTGACACGAAGTTCAGAAGGTAATAAAGAGATATGCAACTGCACGAGAAGAAGCATCAAATCTCAAAGACGATTTGTTGATCCACTCCTATATAAGGAAGATTTCAACAAGTTATAAACCAAGCGGCTGGTTTATATACAGGAATAATCGATCACAGAATAGTTCGTCAATGATATCTGCATTGAAATTTAATTCCATCAACAAAATGAAAATCAAATTCAAAACATTCCAAATACATCGAAGCAGATATACAACTCAATAACTCATGACTCCAATTACTTTTTTTCATTGAATATCAAACCATGAAATAAACGTTGAAACTCAAAACATAGATGTTCAAAAAGTCAAATGGTGTTATCACTTCCTATTGAAAGGAGTTTCGGAATCTGTCGATATCGCCTACTTTGTAAAAATAGCGAGGCGTGGGAGAATCTTACAAAATTTCCGAGGTTTCAAACCAAATTTACAGACATCATTCATTCATTTGAGTTTTTACATTTACATTTTCACAATTTTTGGTTTAAATGGACACGGTGCGTTATATTTTCGACTTTCCATTGTGAATTTATGAACGACACGAAGTCCTAACTCATGAAAATCCTATGATGATAGTTTATTTACTCACTCACAAACGAATGTTCGGATTTTCAAATAATCCTCACACATTGCAGCAGTCAGGCCATGATGAAAGCACAATACACTCACTCAACTAATAATATGATATCAATACCTGCTCAATAAACTACTAATGCTCTTAATTCATAATATTTATATTTATGAACAAAATCTTGAATATGCCGTAAATATGACACTCGTGACAGTTATGTCAACGTCTTTGTTGCGTCCTGCCTCTTTTGCGCCCTGTCTCTAGATGCTTCTTATCAGCTATTTTTGAAATCGTGCATCATCAACGGGACTCTTTAGGTCCCGAAAGAAGAAAAATACATCTTTGGAAGTTCAGTTCAACTTCATAATAAATGCATTTTGAAAATTTTCAAGAAATTGTCCATTGTTCACGCCATCTATCATCGACTATGAGAACCCCACGTTCCGACCTCGTATTGAATTGTTTATATCAAGAGCTAGTCTAACGAAACAATTGAAGAGTGGGCACACCAGAGGAATTATAAACCTCTCTGGTATGTAGTAATAAAAATCTACAACTTGTTGAGGGTTGAAAGATGTATCGATCATAAAAGATAAAAACAATATTGTATTTCCAAATCCATATCGGCAATTTGATATTTATTTATAATCAGTCTCGAACCTAGGTCGCAAAATCTTACGATGTTGTGACCTAGAGTCACTGGATGGTATCAGTTTGATAATCAAAATTGTTTGAATTTGACAATAAATTTTATAAACGGCAGGATTGAAATAAAATTTCATAATTATACTTTCGAGAAAAAAGCAGCTATGGAAATCACTTGCTGTGTAATGAATTGTGCCAATTCTGAAGAGAATGGATATCATTTATTCGATTTTCCAAATCAAATATCAAGCATTCGCTTATGGAATGAAGATATGAAACGGCCTGGGTGGAAAATCAATTTGAAGTCGAGCGAAATTTGCGAGGTACTCATTAAAATTCACATCTCATAACAGCATCTGATTATAATGAAACTGTATTTTAGGCCCATTTTCAATCAGAAGATTTCAAAATCTGTTTGAGAGAATCTGCTGTTCCATCAATTTAAAAAACAGACGATTTCAAGAACAAAATTCCATTATTATCATCACACAAAATACAAAACAAAATAATCATGGAAAGAGGAAATGATCGCAAAATTACATGATGAAATTGAAAATTTGAAAACGAAACTATGAAAAGCAAGTAAACTACAATGTGATATATTATTGAATGGCGTTTTTGGTGCCGACCAAATTCAAGATTTAACATTGAAAAGTGAATAGTTATTTGTGTATCAAGGAAATTATTATATGGGCCTCAATTACGCTGGAGGTTATTGTTTTGGAGATATTTTCTATATCGATCCATGTTACTCAACTCCTAGGGTGCTAAGTGGAGTTGCTGAGAACTTTACAGAACCAAGTATTTGGTAGGTCTCGTCAAAATAAACTACTTTTTTTCAATGAAATGTTTATCGAAACATGATTTGTTCTCTGTATTTCAACACCCTATATCTCCGAACTGAAGCATTTCCGGACAAAAGCTTATATAGACTTTATTTCTCAGAATTGCCTCAGAAATACTCCACTTGGACGTACTTATGCTACTTCCTGTATATTGAGAATACCTACCTTTAATTTAATATTAATAACTTCATGTTTTATACTTATCACTGGATTACAGTTCGACATACAATAAGGAATTATAGCTATAAGTTTATCCATATGTGTATATTTCCTAATATTAAAATGCTTAAAGTGTATCACTATAAATTGAAGTGGGTTGTTTGTACCCTATATCCATTGTCCATCTACGGCTATGATTGATTTGACAGAAAATATAACCTCTAAAATCGTATCTGACAATCAGGCGCTACTAGGGAAATTGAAGAGACAAAGAGCAGAATATATGTCTTATTCTTTTATTCACTTAAACCGTTCTTAAACCCTTGTATTATAGAAAATAGAAAAGGACAAAAGTTCATCAGCTGCTGTGTCCGAACTCTCATGAAACTAATACCATCCAGTGACTCTATTGTGACCTATCACTACTGGAAATATCATTAGGAAGCCGCCATCTTGAATTTATGAATTTCAACAGAAGAATCATGATCTCCGACCTCAAAAACCCCCACTTACCAATTTTGAATGGAATCGGACCAAATCGTGTCCGCCATCTTGGAGCAGCCATTTTTTTCAATTTCAACAAACACCTGCCAAATTTCAAGTTAATCGGAGTTATGGAATTTTTGTTGAAATTAAAAAAAATGGCTGCTTTAAGATGGCGGACAAGATTTGGTCCGCTTCCATTCAAAATTGGTAAGTGGGGGTTTTTGAGGTCGGAGATCATGATATTTTTGTTAAAATTTATAAATTCAAGATGGCGGCTTCCAAATAATTTTTTGTTTTTGTATAAATGACGATAACTCCGTTGTTATCAACTCAAAACTATTACTGCGACATATCATCTGTAAGAGGAATAATAGTTATTTGTAACTAAGTCATAGTGAGCTATGACCTACATTAGAAAAACTAAAGTTGGTGCTGATATCTCAAATTCTAGAAGAGTTGGTATAAATTTCATATTTTTTTCGAAATCACTCTGAAAAACTGCAATGAGAATGTGAAATTCCTATTTGAATATTTTCATAAATAAAGAAGTTACGGAGGAGACATGAAAATGATCAAAATCTGTTTTTTGCGTATAAAACAAAAACGAATAGATTTAATCAAAATATTTTTTCATATTATAGTTGGCCTTGACAAACTCCACATTTGGTGTCATTTAACCGACCTCGTATCTCTCACCGTTAAAAAGATACCCATGGTGAGCATGGTAAGTGGGACACACTGTATAAATCGGTGGTTCACATTGGCATCAGGACTTCAGTTATACATCTTATATAAAAATATGTTGTCGACCGACTTGGAGTCTTTTCTTCCATTTATATTATATAAATGTTATTCACGCAAGCGAATGATCATTTTCAATGTTCTAGGAATAACGTCATACTAATGTCCCTGTCGATACGCGAGATATGTTTTCCCTCGCCGACAATCGACCGCTTGTAGGCTATAAATACTTCCCGTTAATGTTCTTTACGCATTGGACATCCTTGGGAACCTTCTTCGGGATCTATTGAGGACCTTCTACGGACCATCAACTCACCTGGATGTTCCCATCTGTTATGCAAGATCTGGTCCTAGGAAGACTCAGATAAATTCAAAGTCAAGATTGATTCCTACGACCTATAAACATTCCAGACGACGTCCTATGATCGTTCTAGAGGATGTCTCATGGACGTTCCAGAGCACGTCCTCTGGACATTCTAGAGGACGTTTTGGGGGATGTCCTGTGAATGATCTCGGTACAAAAACAGGATGTTCGACTTGAGGAATGTTTGGTGGGAAGTCGGGACACTTGTACTTTCCTCGGACCTACTATGGATGTCCGCGGTACCAAGAAAGTCCTATGGACGTCCCGAATGTCCCGCCTGAACGTCCAATGGACATCCATGTGACTGTCGGCTGGATAGACATAATAGCTAGATCGAACTGATGAAAGAAAACCTGTTGAGATTATGCCTGAACATGAAATGAAACAACCAATGTTGAGACCATTGAGACTCATCAAGACGACTGATCTGATTTGCATGCTCCTGGACTTCATTTAATCATATCTCTTATTGATACAGCATGAGGCAGGCTTTAGTAAATGCTTTCATGAGAGTTATATAGGATTAGTAATCAGAAGACTATAGTCTTGAGTCGATATTGGAATTCCTAATGTTGTATCTAATACTAATTAAGTGAGTTAGGCTTAGAAAAAGATAGCACCTGCACATTCTGCGGGGAAAAATCAGGAACATCGCCACCATATCCTGGTGGAACTTCGGCTTGAAGGTTTTCATGGATAAAAAGAGATCTTGAGCAATCAGAAGGAGATGGAGTACGTTGTAATAGATCTAATCAGGTCGTTGCACATCTGCAACCAAGCCGATTTTTTATTTTATATAATGTCAATATTAATGAAGGAAGTGTGTGTTCGAGGCATGACCATGATCATGTGTGAATAGCCAATGAAACTGTTAGTTGTCTAAGGACTGGTCCTTCTCTCACACGTTGAAGAGTGATATCCAAAAATATATTTCATATATTTGATATTCGCAGACCTTCCCTGCCTCCCTGTATCGATCGCCACGCAATAATTGTAAATTCTCAGTTATCAGTTGCAAAGCTGAGTAGCATTCACTACCATCATTTCGAAATAAGTTATGACCAGTAACGTCAACTGTGGTAGAGATGATTACGTGTACGAAAAAGTGCCTACGGCAGGGATAGGGAAAGCCGCTATTGCCAGTGACAAAGATTCAGTAAGCATTATTTCTAACAAGGATAGAAAGTTTCTCTACTTCGCAGCATCCATAGGTAAGTTCGTTTTGCGATTCTCGAAGTACTGTTGATTTCAGTTCAACTATAGTGTTGCCACCGATCGAACGATATCGGTGTGAATTAACTGAATCTCATCATAGGCTTTCTTGAGGTTCTTTATATGACTTCAGCATCATATACATGTTTTGAAACCAAAAAGAATGCATCATGAGTTATGCATTCTGAAGCATATACATGCATGTCTAGGCTGGTTATTTATTCCTTTCGGGTCCGTAGCATGTTCTTCTTCAGCTAAATTTACATTACCACATTGTCGTGGAGATAATTTTGGGTTTTCTTTCTTCCTCAATTTTAGTAGGTTCTCACTCCTCTTTGAGCCATCATAAATTTCTATCAACATTTTATATTAAAAAAGTTGAGATTTAGAAATTATGATAAATTAGGAACATTATTCCCAGAGATATTATAGTTTTATCATCAATACCATTATCATACATTCCTTATTCATGGCTACTACCGTAATATCTTGATTATTCAGTGTTGAATATTTCAGAAACTGTTGAACCAAATAGGAACAATTTATATATTCTGAAAATCAGGCAACAGTTTGTTGTTTTTTAAAATTTTATCGACAATTCCACGACGTATAATAATAATAATAATAATGATAATAATAATAATAATAATAATAATAATAATAATAATCGACTTCATTTAGTATTTCAATATTACATAGTAGGCGAAGTTTAGCTATAGCTACTCTTACACTTAACCTATAATATGTATTATGGGAATTAAAGTAACAGGACAAAAATTTGAGATTGTGTGATGGGACAAATTACTAGTAGTATACAAAAAGCTACATAGTTTGAAATAAAAATGTAATTCTTCTTATCACATATTGAATATTGCCTTCAGTTTCTCTTTGAATGTGGATTTCGAGTATTGCATGAGATCTTTAATAATCGTGTTGTGAAAAAATACAGCTAAGTAGGAAAATGATTTCCTGAACATGGCTGACGAATGACGAGGGATGTGAAGGTTTCCGTTAGTTCGAAGGTTGAAAGGATGGAGCTCTAACCTCTTTGTCAATTTATTGAATAGTGGAACAGGTTTTTTCGATTTCAATACTGAATAAGTGATGTTGCAGTAGTTATATTCCCTGAGAACGGACATTGTGATACCCAACCAAGGTTAGTACGAGCTTGAGAAATGTGTTCAAATTTACGTATCCCTAAGATGAAGCGAACACATGAATTTTGCACACGTTGTATTTCAAATTGATTAGCCGAATCCAAGAAGGGACCATAGACAGGGTCTCCATAATTGATGGTTGAAAGGATGAGCGATTGGGAAAGAAGCTTTTTTGTACTAGTTGACAAGCTTTTTGTCTATGTGGATAGAGAACTTTGAGAGTGGCATAGGATTTAATCACAAGTTGTTTTACATGTGCATTAAATTTTAAATCTTCATCGAAAGTGATGCCCAAGTTTTTTACAGAGTCAACCGATCTAAGTATTTGTTCACCTATCTTTAGTTTCATAAGATCTTCAACATATTGTCTTTGGTTTATGTTGCCGAAGAACATGACATGGCATTTGCCAGGATTCAACTTCAAATTGTGTTTGTTCGACAGAGTATTTATAACTTCAAGGTCATCATTTATTTGATTTTGGGATACTAAGATATTATTAGATGCGATACTATGATATAACTGCGTGTCATCCGCAAATGCTTGTACCCGGCAATGTCTAATTTGAGAAAAAATATCTGCAGTGTATAACAAAAATAGAAGAGGACCAAGAATTGAGCCTTGAGGTACTCCTGACATAACACTTTCAAGAGATGAACTCCTATCATCTACATGTACCTTTTGATATCGGTTGTTCAAATAATAATTCAAAATATTTATGACATTGGCTGAACATCCGTAATATTCAAGCTTGGAAAGAAGGAGTTTGTGGCTAATGGTATCGAACGCCTTAGAAAAATCTAATAACACTAGAGCGGTGACGTTTTTTTCATCAATATTGGCTACAATGCTATCACTAACATTAAGTAGAGCCGTAATAGTACTGTTCCCTTTTCGAAACCCTGCCTGATAGTCTGGAAGAATATTTTCGGATATAATGAAGGCTGTTAGTTGAGCGTGAATAGCTCTTTCAAGAATTTTAGAAACGGCTGGTAAAATACTTATGGGACGTAAATCTGTGAGAGTAAGTGGATTTGTCGATTTAGGTAGCGGTTTAACAATGGCTTCTTTCCATATTTTGGGAAAATAAGCCTTTTCCAGGCAGCAATTGATAATATGGGTTAAGTAACAATCAATGAAGGGGCTGCAGTACTTAAGCATACAAAGAGTAATACAGTCTGATCCACATGCATTAAATTTTAGGCTATTGAGAATGTTGTTTACTTCAGAAATGGTGAGAAATTCAAAGTTGAAGTTGATTCCGATATTATTGAAGCAATTATTATTATAGAAATGAAGTAAGTCGCCGTATGAAAATATGAATAGAACAACATCTTGTCTGCTGGTATAACATGGAGATAAAAGTTTCATTAGGTCGTGGAATTGTCGGGGGTGAATACATGAGAGATTTTGTTTCAATCGATTGATACACGCCTATTCCAAGATTCAATAAGATTCATTCAATTTCCTAAAATCGGCCCAATCACTAGGCGTTTGAAGTGATAAGAAAGCAACCAAGCTTCCTCGATAATCGATAAATATGCATTGATTTTAATCAACACAATTCGATACTTTGACAAAAACTTTCACCGTCTCTACCGTCAGATGATTTTCGAGTCTCCTCAACAAAACGTCGTTTCTTTTTCAAACCAAATTGTCTTTATACTGTAGTTATGTTTCTATTGTTCATCACGAGTCCGGCTGACGATGTCACCAAGCAATGATTGGATCTAGTTCTGACAGAATTTTCATCGATAGTATTGGGAGCAATCATGGTACCCCTGATAATTGAACAATTGATACAATAATTGCTTTTTTTTGTCAAGGTGGTTGAATTCCTTTATGAACATCATTTGGGTCTAATCCCCCATTTGATAGTGTATGAGTCCCCTGACCCAAGGGTATACCCACTAAACACTCCACCCCGTTTGAAGGCTCGTCTGACTGATGTATCCGACGACACTGAGACCTAGTGGCCCATTGAATCTTGCCAACATACCGTTATCAATTTCACTATATACGACTCATTGTGCTCATAAGGGGCCACTTCAATATGAGAGACCATTTTCGTTCAGGTTCCTGAAGATTACTCTTCCGATCCCTGTTCTCGTTTACGAAGAAGTCCAAAAGTTTTTCTTTTCCTACGAGTGACGGTCAGGCCCTGTAGTGTCCCCTGCACAACAACAACAAACAAGGTCCAGGACCAAAGTTGCCGGGGTAGCAACAGGTGTGATTTCTCCCCAGGGAGAAATGGAGGATTTGGATAAGCCAAATCAGCGCGCTAGAGCCATCTTCGTTATGTAACGGCATGTTCCCTTGCTACCATTTCATTATACCAATGGTGAGGCCGTCTGATAAGACAGACTACTGGCTCTGCGGTGTCAGTGCCCGAGCAGAAACGCTGCTCACAGGCAGGCAAAATATCCTCCCACTTGACCCATAGTGGGATTCTTCTTCACCTCCTTGACCGTAGTCCGGTGATGTTTTTTGGAAACCGCTGCCCCGAGTCCAACCCAATTGGTGAGGCACCAGGCCGTATGTACGGCCTGATGGGGCTATCCACATCACCCCAGGTACCCATGTCAACAAGATTCCTCTTGTTACGTTTGATGGGTCGCCGTCGCAAAAGGCTTTCGCCTAATTGCATGTTGACAAGAATCCTCTCGTCCCGTTGAATGAGTGATCGTTCGAGGACTTTTACACGTTCCTCTACCTCGTTTACAGGAAAGGACCCGGCTTTACCTATGATGACTGGCGATAGGATCGCTTGGGGCTGCCCTCTCCCTGTCGAACTGAGGCACAAGGTACACCAAAGTTCCATTTTTAGCTGAGCAAGCCCAGCTACCCATGTCGACCAGAATCCTCTGGTCCCGTTTGATGGGTGTCCGTTCGCGGTCTTCCACACGTACCGCTACCATGACAAGAGTGAGGACCTCAAGCTTTTAACCAGTGGTGTCTGGAGTCACCTGAGGCTACCCCCACCCCGACGCCGTGAGTACATGGTGGGCCCACGGCCGAATGTCCCCTGCACAGGGCGAAGGCTGTTTACTCTGAAATGTCGCCCTGTTTCCCAGAGGCCCCTTTAGCGACACCATACCTCGGTGACATTTAGTCATCGCCACGGGTTCCTACAGCTTCAAATAGGTTGCCAGAGCCTCGTTGACCAGTCGTTGGCCACCTAGACAGATATCAGCAAATCGCCTCATCCTTGCCACAGGTGTCCACAAATAATTGTTCCATCTGGCTCGGAGATAGCAGGGATGGTGCCAAAATGATTCATCTGTCAAGTGACCGCGGTCTGTCCTTCCCACACCAATTGATGATGAGGTTGGACTCGAAGAAGAAGAGGGTCAGAGGGAAAGAGGGTGAGAGGAAAAGAGGAAGAAGGGAGGAAGAAGAGGATATCACCCAAGACGAGTGGAAGTTTGATGAATATCCGGCTAGGGGTACCTCGGGTTCACCATTCCGATACTCACAGTTGTAAGCCCCTGAGGGCAAGTGAACGGAATCACCCTTGAGTGCATTTGAATATATGGCTTCATAGGGTTAGTTCAAAATTATATAAAACGATCTCTTATAATACTGCTCAAACTACACTAATTTATGCCATTCCTGAACAATTGATGCTGAACATTAGGTGAACTGTCTCAAATTCTTCAGATTCTTGAACAATCTTTTGAATTTTGCAAATGAAAATTTCAACAATTCTACAATTCACTTCAATAGTGTGATTCCATTTCTTGGACAACTAGGAGCTATTGGTTTTTAATCATAACATTCAGTTCAGTTCAGCTCGTAGTATCAATATTGGAGAGAAATTAGACTGGTTTCTATGGTGGTCACTTGTCGGATAATGCTATTGATTCTTCTAATGATATATTCAATACTTCTCTAACAAGTACCTCACATTAATCACATGCAGCTTTCTGTACTTATTTTAAATTTGCTTGGCGATAGCACAAACCCAAATACCACCAGATAGATTGAGTCTTACTTGGGCTAATAATCATCAGGGTCTCCAGTTATTTGATAATTGAATTCCTGAAACACTGAACGAAATCCAAAAAAAATCTTCCAACATCAGTGGTTTTATTGACTGAGGTCAATCACAACCATCGTGGATGGATTAAAAATTCATTGTGAAAGACTAGAAAAGATTATAATGAGGTGTCTCACTCTCTCATAGTCTGATCATGGACATCGTCCATGTCCAAAACATGATAACTTCTTCAATTTGATCAATTCGAATGATGGAGTTCGTGAAGATGCGTTCTTCTCCACATCCTTATTATTTGTTTCAGCTAACCTAGCATCATTCGTCTGCGGTACAGCCCTAGGATGGACCTCACCGGAGGTTCCGAAGATGAAAGCCGTAGAAGACAACCCCATCGACCATATCCTGACACCTACAGAGGAAGGGTGGGTCGGCTCTCTCCTACCTCTAGCAGCGGCTGTAGGCCCTTTCGCCGGAGGTTACATGACTGACGCCATTGGCAGAAAAATCACCTTACTCATCAGCGCAACACCATTCATCCTAGCCTATTTCCTCAACATCATAGCAACCGACTTGACATATTTCTTTCTGTCGAGATTCCTATGCGGTTTGGGCGTTGGGATAGTCTTCACGTCCATACCCATGTACGTGGGGGAAATCGCAGATGATGAAGTCAGAGGGTCACTAGGAGCCTTCATGCTACTCTTCATGGTGATCGGAATGCTATTTTCCTACGTCTTCGGTCCATACCTGACCTTCAAGACTTTCAACGTGGTTCTCCTCGTACCACCCACAGCTTTCTTTCTATTGTTTCTCTTCTTCATACCAGAAAGTCCCTACTACTTGGTACAGACGAACAAGATTGAAAGGGCTGAGCAGGCTCTGATGAAACTACGAAGAAGTGGTAGGAGTATGGCAAGGAATGAAGCTGAGCTGATCAGGCAGCAAGTGGAAGTTGATCGAAGAAACAAAGGTGGCATCCTCGATATCTTCAAGATAAAAGGCCAGACAAGAGCGTTGATGCTGTCTGTAGGCCTGTTAGTTTGCCAGCAGTTGTCCGGTATCAACATAATAATTTTCTTCGCGCAAGATATCTTCACAGCAGCTGATGTATCGCTAGCACCGGAAATTTGCACAATCATCATTGGCATTGTGCAAATTCTAGCTAGCGGTGCTACTTCTTTGTTGGTGGAGAAATTGGGGAAGAGATTCCTCCTCATGCTATCTGGTATAGGCATGGGGCTATCACACGGAGTCATGGCCTGCTTCTTCCATTTGAAAGACGACCAGATGATCGATATTTCGGGCGTAGGATGGGTCCCAATCGTTAGTTTGGTGGTATTCATAGTAACCTACTGCCTTGGATTCGGCTCATTACCGTGGGCTGTAATGGGAGAGCTTTTTCCTGTTAATATAAAATCTGCTGCTTCTGCTGTCACTGCTTCTGGAGGTTGTCTGCTGGGATTCATCGTCACCAGATACTTTGGGAACCTAACTGATATGATTGGTAGATCTGGAACTTTTGGGGTGTTCACTATTTGCTGTTTTATCGCATCCCTACTTGTCTACAAGTTGTTGCCGGAAACTACTGGAAAAAGCTTTCAAGAAATTCAGGATATCTTGAATGGAACATTAGAAGAACGAAGATGAACAACTTATTATCATCATCATCATTCAGTTACTGTATTAAAGTTTTCTCCCGCGAGTGAAGTTTGATGCCCAACATATATTATTTTATCCATGAACGTTTATTTTTTAGGAGCGTTATTCTTGTAAATGTACTTCAGGCGGTCTATCTCTCGATCCAAACCGATGGACATAACAAAGGTATATTATGCTATAAACAATAGATGGTATTTGAACATAAATCAATTCGACACTCCTGTTATCAAAAATTGATAAAATAGATTGTGTGACTGCTTCTGAAAATTTTGATTAGGTACGTTTGGAATATGAGGAAATTTATTGACTCATATATTTATTCATTTATCCACATTCGATACTGTGAGTCATTCGCAGTTGTTGAGTGTCTTGGAGAATATAGGAATTCGCGGAATATCGCACAAATTGATGACACGTCATCTCAGTGGTAGAAAACAAGTAGTGAGAATAAGAGATACATTGAGTGAGGAAAAAAATATTGCATACGGAGTTCCCCAGGGAACGGTTCTGGGTCCACTACTATTCTCCCTCTACATAAATAATCTACTCACCACACATCAATCTGGCCAAATCATAAGTTTCGCCGATAATACAGTCATTTTATACACTTCAGAAAATTGGGAAGATCTCAAATCAAAAATGGAAAAGGATATGGAAAACATTATCGATTGGTTCAATCACAAGTATCTTACAATAAATTTCGAGAAAACATTCTTTTTACCATTTGCCAGTTATAAAAACAGCTTACCATATTATACAGAACTAAATATTAGAAACAACCAGAATACAATCCCTATCAACTCTACTAACCAAATTGAATATCTAGGTGTAACAATTGATAGCCATTTGCGATGGAATGCGCATGTTGACAGAGTTACGAAAAGCCTTAGATATATTGCATAAGTTCAAATATCTGAGAACAATACTCAATGAAAAATATTTAAGAATTATATACTATGCACTGGTAGAGTCTCGTCTGCAATATGGAATACTCAGTTGGGGGGGAGTAGCTTACAGTCATCTGAAAAAGTTGGATATACTACAGAAAAAAATACTCAAAATTATGTTGAACAAAAAATTCACTTACCCATCAAATGAACTATTCAAACTTGCACAATTATTAGATATAAGGCAGCTATACATGTATAGCATAGTTATGTATATCTCCAAAAACAAAAGTTGTATCATGAAGTTGAACCATTCTCACTTCACTAGGAATAAAACCAAATCATTTGTTCAGGTCAACAACTCTAGGAAAGCTATTGGTCAGCATTATTTTACCTTTTTATCAAGTCGAATTTTTAACATGCTGGATGACGTCTATAAAATGAACCTAATGAATATAAACTCATTACCAATGGTGAAAAAATTTTTCAAAAAATTATATTGAAAATATGGATAGACAAGTTGTGCGAACTATCATGGAACATCAATAAAGTCCCAATTTACTATTTATTCGTTCATTGTGTATATTGTCTACTATTGTTTCAAAAATTTCTATTGTATATTTAGAACAACATAACATCATTTAATACTATTCTTGCTGTTTTGTTTAATGTGTATCTTTCATTCGAGTAATATTGAAACTTTAACTTACTGTTATTATTAGAACTATATGGTTCATTATTAAATCTTGTTATATTCTGAACATGATTGGAAATAAAAATAAGAATAAAACTGGAAACAGGTTCACAATGAAGTATGCCCATGCTCAACCCTAGGGTTTTATGGGTACCTCCATGTTCATTTGTTGTTAGTGTACATTATTTTGGTGTTGAATTATGTTATTATATTACTTGTTGTTATTATCACTTAGACAAATAATTATCATTATTATAATTATTATTATTCATTTATCCATTTATTCATTTATCCATTCATTTATTCATTCATTTATCAATCTATTTATTATTCATTCATTTATTTATTTACTCATTCAAAGTGGAAGCTGGAAGCTAGAAGCTCATAAACTCTTTATACTAAAGTTGAAGATAATCATGATAGCCATTGCTTAATTCTAAAATAACTACTAATAAGGATTGAATCAGTTACATGAACTTGTCATAGAATTCACATGGGTTCTCATTATAATGTTTGAATAGATACAAAAAGCTCAAAGTCATTTCCACACAATGTTCATAAATGGACAACAATGGTAGATTTCGGGAGAAAAACAACATTATGCATGAGAGGGTTAAAATATTTCCAATTTCAATTTGTTGTCGTTCAAATAATTATGAATTCTTCCTAGAGCGGTGTTTCTTTTATCCAAAGAGACATTTGAACTCTCATGTGATACCGACAATGATGTATCATTAACAAATGAATTCATGAAACCACAACTGTGTCATGCACCGATATTATTGATGTAAATTAAGAATAACAAAGGGCCTAGTACGCTACCCTGAGGTCCACCACATTTGGTGTCAATAGGACTTGAAAGAGCAATACCCACTTCAGCTATTTGTTTAAGATCTTTAAAGTAGCCTTTGAACCAATTCAGTACAGTTCCTTTGATACCAATAATTTCCAATTTTAATACCAATATATCACGGTCAACTGTTTCGAAAGCCCTTCTCAAGTCTAAGAAAACTGCAACAACATTCCAATTATCGATAGATTGAGTCAATTTACTGATAGTTCGCTGTAAAGCCGCTCCACAAGAGTGATCCTGACAGAACCCTGATTGATTATACATGAGAATATTATTACTTTCAACATACTGTAGAAGTTGATATATACAGATATTTCTAACAATTTCTCGATGCCTGGCAATGTGTTCACAGGACGGAATTCACTAGATTTTTTTGTATTTCTAAGATCAAAAAAAAGTATTACTATGATAGTTTTCAGTTCATCAGGTGATTGCCCATATAGAAGTGTAACAAAATATGATCTTCCACTGCAAATGTCCTTTTCATAAACTTGCTATCCATAATTTCAGCACCAGATTTATTCTTCATTCTATCGATTATATGGGTCAATTCCAGTTGATCAAAAACTTAGAAAGATTACTCCACAATAATTTCACTTTGCCAAATTTTAGTAGCATCAGTTGAGTTGACGATATCATCTGAACTAGATTTCAAATATTCATTGAACGTCTCTCTATTTTAGTTACATCTTCGAGCACTTTTACTTGATCTTCATTTTGAAATTCTATGTTGTTTTGACCACTTGTATCCGATTCCGTAGTTAATAATGATTTGAAGGTTTTCCACATGAGTTCTTGATTTTACGCACTCGACTCAATCTTATTATATTAATACTCTTGTTTTCTAACTTCAAGAAAACTAATTGCATCATTTCTTGATCTTTTATATTTTATGCAATAATTACTCTCACACCTGTTGTGTCTCAAATCCTGATATGCCTTATCTGTTTTGTCAATGCAAATTTAATATTCAAACCCCCTTCTTTTCATTGGCGTAGAAGTTGTAGACATTTATTAACTGGAATAATCAAATTCGACGCCCATGCATGGAATGATATTGATAATTATCATGATATTTTTCTTTAAGTTCTGGTTCCCACGAAAAGGGATATCCTGTAATGTTCAGAGAACATCGTGGGAACCAAGGGAAATGAAGTAGGAATTGATGTTCTCCTTGAATTTCTTGAGGTTATATGCCTCGGGGAACAACTCCCTTGGCAATGTGCTCCAGAGCCTCGCTGTTCGTTGGATGAACGAGTATTTGGAAAGAGATGTTCTGCAGGTTTCCAAAGTGACCACGAAGGGGTGCGAATCCTCAACTCGACGGGTTAATCTCGCGGAGACTGCCAGATATTTCAGAAGAGCATCGTCCATGAAAATATCTATAAAATAGAGACAGATCGCCAACTTTTCTACGGTGTTCCAGAGAAGTGAGTGAGTTTGTGAGCGAGGCATCACCCACGAGACGGATTACCCTTTTTTGGACCAGATCCAACAGTTTCAGGGTATGTTTGGGTGCTGCACTCCAAATATGGGAACCGTATTCCAGGACAGGTCGGATCTGTGCCTTATAGATCATAAGCAGCTGACTGGAAGTAGAATAGCTCCTTGATGCCCTAAACAGAATACCAAGTTCTCGCAATTGATCTCACGTGATTTTCCCAAGATTGCTGATAGTAATACCAAGCATCGAAATGGATGTCTGCAAAGGTATGGTTAGTCCTGACATGCTCATGTTTGGCACAGTGAGATCGGCTTTTCTAGAGAAAAGGCATGCTTGTTTTTTGTTTGCATTGAAATCTACCAAGTTATTGGATCCCCATTCAAGAATTGTTGCCAAGTCCATATTAATGTCATGAGCCGATTCACGGTTTTGAAGCAGAAACGATTTGAGAATTTTAACTTCAGAGCCATCTAGCGCCCTAAGCAAATTTGTATTGAGGTGAAGAATATGGTAAATTTTTGCAGAGACTCTTCGAGGACACCTTGTATTATGTCTTCAATAACTCTCGAGACTTCATCATCCTTTTAATTCTTTTGGAAAGGAATTGGAATAATCCAATACCGAAATGCATTCTCAAATAGATCACCCTGTACTATGAATCAATTCCAGATAATCACGATTTTTACAACAGATACTCAGATCATTTTGGATCGTTTAGAAGTAAATTAGAATAATGAGCCTTTATCTATTGACAAGTTCAGTGTTGATGATAATAACACTCCATATCATGATACTGATCGAAATATTAAGTTTTTTATGCATCTGAGAAAATATCCCCATTGAATAGGGAAAGTCAACGATTGAAAGATGTTTAGTATCAGCTTGAGGAATTATATCAGTTGTACGGCACTAGCTGTTTTATCAGGTGAGTTTTTCTCAAAATCTAATATCTAGAACGCACGCCGTGCCGATATGATGTTATTTGACACGAAGTGCGAAAAACTAAAACCACCCAACAAACATTCATTTGTGGTAAAATGAAGGCCCAATAAATTGTTTTTCTACGGCTATAACAAACAATTGCTCTTGTTTTACTGTGTTCGATACATCAATTTTTTCTGCAACCGACACAAAAGTCGTCCATTTTGATACCAAAATTAGCTCTTAAATTGACGTTTCTATTACTGACACAAAAATAGGTATGTTGCTAGGCAACATATTCAGTTCCCAGGAGCTAAAGTTGAATTTTAGTTCCTAGGAGCTAGAGTTGAACTTTAGCTCCTAGGAACTAAAAAGGATCTACTGGACGTCATCAAGAATAAACAACATTGTGATGGTTGGCTATTTGGGTTGAGATGCATACCTGATTTGTTTCCGATTTCAGCAGATTTGGCATTTCATACCCATGCTGGATATATAAATACACCTTATTATAGTTTAGTATTGGAATTATAAACATCTCAGTTGAGTATTTTTGTTTTTATCAGGGAAGCCTTCAAGATTCAAATACTTGCTTGATCTGTATTTCATTCGTTATTCTCGGGATGAATTACTTGTTTTCGAATAATCACGGCAAGCAATAGTTTTTTTGTTTCAAACAACGATATTGTTCAGCTTCATTTGATTATCAAGTAAAACACAGTGTAGTATGGAGAGGAATAAATAATCACTATTATCATTGTTGATATGCTCACTAACCTAACATTCTCCACGTCTTGTTCCTATAGCTGGCACTGGCGCGGTATTTGCCAGTAGAGCACCTGGTCCATACACAAATATGTCACTCTGTGGTTGTATTTATATTGAAACTACAATTCGAACATCCTAGAAAACCTAACCTGCTGTTAATGCAGGTAGAATATTCTCACCACATGGATTATTTGTCAATAGTTGTTGCATTGCATAGCACAGCATTGGTGGTTACTTCACATATTTATTTGAGTTAATTGTTTCGGTTGCAGAAAAAATAGCATGTTTCATTCGGATCAAAAGTGACTTTGTTCAACTTGCAAAATTCGCTTGTCAAACAAAGTGTCACTTTTGGTCCTAATAAAACAATCTACTATCATTTCCGTATCTGATATCACAGTGACTCCATTGTGTTATTTCAAAACAATCTCATCGCTCATGGAATGTCAAATTTCAGCAAATGTCAGCTCTGTCTGATAGATGAGCATTACTTGAGAGGAAATCAGATGGCTACAAAACGAAGAAATCAAAAATGCCGCTGGTATCTGTTGAAGCCGTAAAAAAAATAGTGTATAACTTGCACGTAATGCTAATTTCCCACTCGAATGATTGCAGCATTCGCCTACAGCTCATGCTGCAAACTTCATTCTCGTGGGAAATCACTATCATTCCGTGCTCGTTAAACAATTTTCGTAGGGAATATACGAAATAAGTTGTAATGATTGTGATAAAAAATACAGGGTGATCCACGGTGGATGGCCTATTAGAAGTATCTGGAGAACAAGAAGACAAAACATTCTGAGAATTGAGATGCTTTGATAATTGAAAATTCTCTATCCGGTTGGAATATTTTCATCGATACAGTATTACCACTTCTATCAGAAACAGCTAGCAACTCTGATATTTCAAAAGGAACATACTGTTCTTTATTGCATTCTTATATTCTTCCTGAAAAGCTGATTTCATCAATGCATCACACTTGGGGTCTAGCAGGAATGATTACAGAGATATAGGGTTTTCAAAATCGAGATTTTTCAATTCTAGATTTATTTTGTGTCGAAACTATTCATTATCGATCAAAACAGCTCATATGTCCCTATCTCAACTTTTGATTCACTATCTATTGGAATTTAATTGGAAGAAATACAGGGTCCTTCAAGATTCAGAATTCTGATCAACCTGTATCTGTTTCAATTGAATGTCAGTAGATGGTGAATCGAAAGTTAAGATAAAATTGGAAAAACCTGGAATCAGGACACCCTATATCTCTGTAACCATTCCTGCTAGACCCCAAGTAAGATACATTGATGGAATCAGCTGTTCAGGAAGAATCTAAAAATGTAATGAAATACAGGGTGCTCCATTTGAAATAAGAAGTTGCTATTTGTTTCTGATAGAAGTGGCAACACGACTGTATCGATGATATTATTTTATACGGATAGAGAATGTTCAATTATCAAAGCATTCGAATTTTCAGAATGTTCTTTCTTTTCGTTCTCCAGATACTTCTAATAGGCCATCCACCATGCATCACCCTGTACAAAAAGGCCAAACCAGGCGACCCATAAAAACAAGTTTCAAAGAACACATAGCATATTTAAAATATGATAGGATGAATAAATCGTGTGTAGCCGAACATATGTTCCATCACACATCCTTTCGTTGTCAACCTCGATATATGTCGAACAGCACTTTATCAAAACTCCTTCATCTATAAAACGGCTAGGCTCTGGAATTCATTGCCTGAGGAAGTATTCCCAACAACATATAATCTCCAGAAGTTCGGAAAAAATCCAATACCTACCTCCTGTCCCTATCCTCCCTAGGAACGCACGATGTTCTTTGAACATTATAGGGATTTCCTTTCGTGCGCTCCAAGCGATAAAAAAACAGTCATAACACACATATCACAAACCTGAAATTAGTTTAGCAAGTTAATAATATCAGAAAATTAGACGCATATGAAAGCTTAGACATATTTGAGTATTGTAATAAAGTAATGAAAAAGGATAATGGACTTTATTCCATATACCCCTCTATACAGGGTAACTCACGGTCGATGGTACGTTAGACGTTTATGGAGAACGGGACATAGGATCATTCTGAAATTTTGGTTAGTCACGTAGTTGCTCTTGGTCTATCGATCTAAAATATATTCAGCTCTGCAGCGTTGCCGCTTCTATCGGAAAGTAGCAAAAACTTTGTTATTTTAAATGACACATCCTGTATTTCATTGCATTTTCAGATTCTCTCTGAAGAGCTGATTTCATCGATGTATCACACTTGAGGTCTAGCGGAGATGATTACGGAGATATAGGGTGTGAAAAATCGACATTTTTCAACTTCAGGAATTTTTTTTGTCGAAACTATTCATTATTGGTCGAAACGGCTCACATGTCCTTATCCCAACTTTTGATCAACTATCTACTGACATTTAATTGAAACAAATACAGGGTCGTGCAGAATTCAGAATCTTGATCACCCGGTATATCTCCCAATTAAATATCAGTAGATAGTTAATCAAAAGTTGAGATAGGAACATATGAGCCGTTTTGACCAATAATGGATAGTTTCGACAAAAAAAATTCCTAAAGTTGAAAAATGACGATTTTTCACACCCTATATCTCTGTAATCATTTCCGCTAGACCCCTAGTGTGATACATCGATGAAATCAGCTCTTCAGAGAGAATCTGAAAATGCAATAAAATATAGGGTGTTCTATTCAAAATAACAAAGTTGTTGCTACTTTTCGATAGAAGCGGCAACGCCGCAGAGCTGAAAATATTTTAGATCGATAGACCAAAAGCAACTACGTGAGTAACCAAAATTTCAGAATGATCCTATGTCCCGTTCTCCATAAACATCGACCGTGAGTTCCCCTGTATAGTTTAGTAATATAAAATCAAGTTCAACTTGTGAATTCAACCATGACAAACATTAACTTGACGGTTAGTATTTTTCACCTTCACTCAGACCTTTGCTCAGGCCCCTTTGGGCGCAAAGGTTGATGGCATGTATTTCAGCTTGGAAGATAGTGGGGGAGTGACCTAAGACTTCAAATAGCCTACATCCTGGTCCATATATATCCGCGCCTACCCCTTCTTCCATTTTCGAACCATCGGTGTACCAAACAAGGGACCCTCTGTCCAGCTGAGGCTCAGCGGAACCGTACCTAGGGCGGCTTTTTATAACCACTTGAAAGGTATGATCGAAACTGAGCCTGGCTGGCATTATGTCCGATGGTTTGGTTGCAAATTCCATTTGTACTTCTTGTAGAATGACCATGTGACCAGTGACATCACCTGGTCTGGCCAATATGGCATTTGATAATTTTGTTAATATTTCATTAAGACACCTTATTGTATTGAAAATTGTAAATGGTTATCTTGGGAAATATATATATGTATATATATATATATATATCTATCTATCTATCTATTGATTCCATTATTGATGCAACGTCTCATAAACTTTTTACTTCATACTATTATGTTGATTACTTCAGAAAGGACATTATCGCAATGTTATTTCAACAATATCACAAGACCTATATCTGAAAACTGTGTTTGTAATGTATCATGTTTGATGGGCTATTGGTACACACATTTTTAATCCTAGCTCATTCTCCATTATACTTTCAGTGGACTTACTGGCCACCTCCGGAGACATCACGATGACATGGTCCTCCCCAATGTTCCCAAAACTGTACTCCAACGACACAACCGTCAACCCTCTGGGAACTCCGATAACCGCAGACGAAGACAGCTGGATCGGATCCCTGCTCAACATCGGTGCCATAGTGGGACCGCTTCCATTCGGTTTCATCTCCGAAAGATATGGAAGAAAAATCGCCCTGCTAGCCATAGCTGTGCCCCACATCATCTCCTACGTCACCATGGCCTTTGCTAACAATGTATACATATTTTATTTCGGGAGACTTCTTGGAGGGGTAGCAGTTGGTGGGGGTTATACGCTGCTCCCCATGTACATAGCAGAAGTGGCAGAGGAGTCTGAAAGGGGAATTTACTCTGTCACTCTAGGCATCTTTTGGGCGTTTGGTAATTTCTTTCCATACGCCGTAGGACCATTCCTCTCGGTCATGTGGTTCAATCTGGCACTGGCTTGTTTTCCTCTGGCATTCTTACTAGCCTTCTCGATTTTTGGAAGGGAAACGCCCTATTACTTGATGAGTGCTGGGAAAACTCTAGAAGCCAAGGAAGTACTGATGTATTTGAGGTCCAAGAGCGAGAAGGACGTGGAAGTTGAACTGGAATTAATCAAAACTACTCTGGATAAGGAAGAACATGGTCGTCTCTCAGATGTCCTCAAGAACAAGGGACTAAGGAAAGCATTGTTTATTTCTGTAGCTTTACTGGCATTCCAGCAGCTTTCTGGGGTGAACGCGATCAGCTTTTATATGCAACCAATTTTCGAAGCTTCAGGAACTAGTATATCATCAGATTGGTCCGCATTATCAGCAGGTATTTGCATTTTCATCTTCAGCCTCCTGATTCCCGTAGTCGTCGATAGATTTGATCGGACTGTTCTGATCACATTCGCTTCTTTACTTATGTCTCTATGTTTATCAGCAATTGGAATATTCTTTTATATAAAGGATAAGACTGACTTGAGCTCGAAATCGATATTCTGGTTGCCCTTGGCGAGTCTTGTGGTGAATACATTCGCTTTCCAAGTGGGATTTGCTGCTATTCCCTGGACGATATCGTCAGAGCTGTTTCCGAACGATGTGAAGAACGTTGCTGCCTCAGCCACTTCGATCTCATGCTACTTGACATCTTTTCTCATGACCAAGTTCTTTGATGATATGACGAAAAGTCTCGGTGTCTACGGAACGTTTTGGTTTTTTGCCTTTTCCTGTATATTGTGTGCCGCGTTCACTCATTTTTATGTACCAGAAACTCGAGGAAAGACATTTATGGAGATTCAACAAATATTACAGAAATGAGAGGTAACTTGATACTGTTGGCAACTGAACAGGACGTCTAGCCAATGAAAGACTGGTATACTGAATACTTATGTCAGTATACGAAACTGACATTGCCCAACTAGACTCAACAAAACGGTGTACTGGAGTCCTTGAAGAGATGGCAATTCATGCAAAGTTCTTCAAACAGATTTGAACGTATCGAATATGAAGTTAATATAGAGGTTTACCGAAAAATGCTTTGACCGACTAGTTAACAATGTCGCAGTTGACATCGAATCTTCGATCTAACGGCAATTACGGTCTAGTTAGTTTATGTCGGTTATCTGAACCCACAATGATAACAGAATTTCTCTGCCAGTACCAACCAGATCCCTCACGAAAAATTCCGTCATATACAGGGTGATCCACGGTGGATGGCCTATTAGAAGTATCTGGAGAACGAAAAGACAACTATTGGGGATATTTGAACAATCTCTATCCGTCTAAAATATTTTCATCGATACAGTGTTGCCACTTCTATCAGAAACAACTAGCAACTTCGTTATTTCAAAAAGAGCACCCTGTATTTTATTGCATTTTTAGATTCTTCATGAAGAGCTGATTATTATCAATGCATCACACTTGGGGTCTAGCAGGAATGATTACAGAGATATAGGGTGCTCAAAATCAAGATTTTTCAATTTTCGGATTTTTTTGTGTCGAAACTATTCATTATCGATCAAAACGGCTTACATGTTCCTATCTCAATTTTCGATTCACTATCTATTGACATTTAATTGGAACAGATACAGGGTGATCAGAATTCTGAATCTCACCCTGTATATTTTCCAATTAAATTCCAGTAGATAGTGAATCAAAAGTTGAGTTAGGGACATGTTCTAAAATTGAAAAATCTCGATTTTGATCCCCCTATATCTCTGTAATCATTCCTGCTAGACCCCAAGTGTGATGCATTGATGAAATCAGCTTTTCAGGAAAAATCTAAAAATACAATGGAATAAAGGGTGTTCTATTTGAAATAACAAAGTTGCTAGCTGTTTTTGATAGAAGTGGCAATAAGACTGTATCTATGAAAATATTTCAGACGGATAGAGAATGTTCAATTATCGAAGCATCCCAATTTTCAGAATGTTCTGTCTTTTCGTTCTCCAGATACTTCTGATAGGCCGTCCACCGTGGATCACCCTGTATAAAGACAATTAATTGTATAGCCATTTGCCATAATATTCAGAGAGACTTCTCCATTCAGAAAGCATATCTGTATGGAATTTATGATAACAAATTTCTGATCTAGAACAGCTGCATGTGATATTATATATATATTTATCATTTCATTTTTAAATTATAATGTTATTTAGTAAGTTAGTTAGTTAGTATATTATGTACATATCTTTCATTGTTCTTTTGTTTTTGTGTTCCATATTAGGATTTCAATTAATAACATTCTCATAATTATGTGTAATTATTTTCACCTCATTTTGTATTGAGATAAATGCTTTCGTTCTACCAAGACAAAATGTATCCTTCCGCTCCACATTATGCAAGCTTCGTCAATAAGAACTATATTCTTGGAAAATAAAGCACAGTTTGATTGATTTATTGATTGATTGCTAACAAACAAGAATCAATCGGAATGTGTGATGGAAGCATTACAGGCTGATTTTAAAATAAGTGCATATATTGTAAACACTAAGAAAGCTTGAGGTATACTACCGAATAGCACTATTAAAAATATTATTAGGATCAAAATAGATTTGGGGCAAAATACCTTTTTTCCGCCCAGATTTCTACTTCTGTCACAACTATCGTTTGCGATCCGCAGTCGACCGTGATGAACGAAGCAACGTTGCCACTCTACATGAAAATTAGGAGATATTAAATAAAATGTATAATCGAGAAAATGTACATGGGGAAGAAGTTAACCCTGGTCTTGAATTTCAGAAAGATAATACAAAAACTTTAAAATGGACTCACCCAAGATTTCTACACATAAGCTCGAATAGCGTATAACTTAACACCTCACGGTTGGAAGTTCTTTCACTGAAAAATCCTTTAGACCCTTCCTTCCACCTCCTTGTATCGCTACAATTTCGTGTCCTTCGAGGAGTCTCATGGGCCCCACACAATAACGACCCGACATAAGAACCATATCATTCAGCTCAATGTTTGAGAAATGCATCGTCACATTCCAAGCAAATTGTCATAAACAAAACTTTACATTTACTACTATCACGTTTTGACGTTTTCCAAAATAACATACATTCTCAGAACAACAAACTGTCAAGAAAGGATCTTTGTTTTGATTGTTCTTATGGTGTGCTACCAGCAAGAATTCAGATGACCATGAATTACTAACAGGCGACTTTTACGGACCAATCAGAAACAGCAAAGTAGTGCCTGCGTGGTTGCGATTCATCCTGATTGGGCACAGGTGATTGAGATTAATGTATTAGTGAGGAAGGATCATATCTTTGAATGAAACTACCATTTTCATAAAAAACTAATTTGGAAAAAACATCTATTAGTTTGATTCAATGAAATGATCCTTCCTCACTATATGCACTAATCTTACAAATAAAATCAGCTGTGTCCAATCAGGATGAATCACAACCACGCAGGCGCTACTTTGCTGTTTGTGATTGATCCTTAGAAATCACCTATTAGTAATTCATGGTCATCTGAATTCTTGCGTCCGAAACGGTCAGAAGCATGCGCAGTTTCACAGAACTGTATGATTTTTTTGGGTTCTGTGGACTTGTGCATGCTTCTGACGGTTTCGGATTGTTTATTTTCTGAACGCGAACAATCCTAGTTAGTACTGTCAAAGGTCACAGCAAAGAGGAAATCTATGGTCACAGATACTACTGTTCTGAGAAATGATGTTGACAGATCATGTGGTAATAGTTTTGTTTGTGTGGTTGCTGGTTTGTAAAATAATTGTAAACGTAAAATAAAAAATAAAATAATTGGATGTTGTGTCTTGTGTCGTGATAATCGTGATATGGTCGTGATCGTGATTTTCAATGTGAGATTGCCAGGAAGAGGATATGTCGTCGTCGAGTCGTTTTCGATGGTTTAAGTGCGAATATGAACCAACAAGAACACAGGACGATATTAGTCTGGAATGGACTCGATATTAGTATTTGTTTGCTCTCGGGAGTTTTGCTATTCGAGCAGGTATGAAAAAATCTACTAGGTGAGTCGATTTTCAACTTTGTGTATGTTGTGTACCTATTTCTTGTCTGCTAATTTTGTATCTACCCGCTGGGGCCTTATTTTCGAATTGAAGGAAGGGGGACGTTCTATCATTCCCCTCATGTTTCTCTCCGTCTCTCATGATCCATGGAGATAATCACCCCACAGTTCTCTCAGTAAACTTTGAAAAATAAGGCTCCTGTACATATTACATTCACCTCTATTAGTTTTGATGGGACAAAGAGCTACCACGTGTAATACGAGTGAAATAAGTTGATTGTAGCGTTTGTCCGTGAGATGAGTTCAAAGTTTACATAAAAAAACACATTTTTCTACTCACGTAACAATTCATTTATCCTGCGCTAAGCATGACAATAAAGTTAAACAAAGGTTAGTAAGCAATGGACTGGAAACATCTACAACCAATATCACTTATACGTGTCTCGTTGGTTGCATGTATTATGTTGTCAATTCCCTTTCCTTTCGAATTAATAATGTAATTTTCGGAGTTCGTAGAAAAATCATAGTATGTAACGCGTTTATAAACTCTTCTAGACTCGTTTATTTAAACACTCGCTCCGCTCTGCTCCGCTCGTGCTTAAACTACTCGGTACTGAAAGGACGATTATAACACTTGTTACATAATATACTATTTCGTACACTGTTCATGAGAGAGTTGAACAAGTTTCATGAAATATTGAAAAAAGTGCATTTAAGAGAGAAGAAATTGTGGAAGGGTTGGAACCACGCTCAAACCTTGAATTTTTGTCAGAACATTCTTAGTGGTGGTAATACGATTTTAAAATTCCAAGAACAAGATGACTGATCAATTATCTTCAATTTGTAACCATTGTGAAAGTTTCGTATTCCGCATAGTTCCGAAGGAAAAATATGTTTTCTCAAATAGATATTCCTAGAGTTCAATATCATTATAATGGAGAATTCAGTTGACAGTGGAAACTAAGGCAAAACGTTTTTTATTTTCAAATTAACGTTCAATATGACGCTTACCTTCATTATTAATACAAATGTAAATTCGTTTGTTTCCACTGCCAAATAATTTCATATTACAATTTTATCAAACTTTTACTGGGAATATCTATTAGCATTATTTGAAAAACATTTCTTTCCTTCGGACCTATGCGAAATAACAAATTTCCATAATGAAGACAATCAATCATCTCGCTCAAAGAATTCGAGAACCCCATTACGACCCCTATATAGGAATGCTCTGAAAGAATTTTCAGGGGTGATGGTGGTTTGAACGACCCTTCTATAATCTGTTGCAGGTTTCTTTGATTACTGAAAGTAGAATTATTCTAAAAAATGAACTTTCATCAAATTTCATTATTTTTGAACAGCGCACAATAATATGTTTTTTTTTTATGTCAACTTTCAACTCGTCTGACGAACAAACGTTACATTTTGTAATGTAATCCAATCATCTTGTTTTGAACTGAATCACACGTGGTAGCTCTCTTTTCCAGCAATTCTGAGACACCATGTATAATTGGTTTGAAATTTAATAAAAAAATATAAGGAGGAATATTTCCAGTAAATAAAGATACTCCCTCAGCAACATCAACTCGAGTCATAATATAACTGTTGTTTGGTTGTACCCCTTTTTTTATCCCTCGATAATTCGTTCTTTATACACGGTGGTCCATAATTTGTGCAGTACATTCTAGATACTCTTTTTACTTGGCAGGTTTATCATTGAAGGGCTTCTCCGGTTTGTGTTCATTCATAATTCGTGACTTGACCTTACTTCACCCTATTACCTAACCTCACCTTATATGGGTTGCGTGCAAGAACTGTCAGATGACCGACGCTGGAGGCACAACATTGAAACACAACCTCACTTTTCTTATTTGTTTACAAGTGATCGAAATAGTTTTTCACAATTATTTTGGCATACGAATCGTATTTTTCGGCTATTCCTCAATTCGCTCATGCCATCACATTGTGCTGTTGTAAAATGCACAAAAACTGCAGCGGAAGACGAAGGAATCCCGTTGGTACATTATAATTTAAAAGTAAGTACCTACTATAGTCACTCACATATAGTTTTCATTTTTGAAATTCCCTGATTTCTCATCGGAACTCTTTCTACAGTATATAGGAGCTAATAGAGATACATGTGAAATTTCTAAAAT